TGAGTCGGCACCTACTCAATGGCACCTAACAACAACAACATATTAATTGTTGTAGCAGAGACTGTCTGGCCCCTTTCCCTGTTCTTTGACAGCAGTAGAACTGCTTTTAACTGGGCATATGACCACCCAGAATAAACCCTACATTCCCCAGCTTCCCTTGCAGCTAAGTGTGGTGATGTGACTAAGTTCTGGCCAATGAAATATAAGCACAAGTATCTTGTGGCAATTTCTGAGAACCTTCCTTCAAAGACAGCTGGCATGTTTCCTTTGCTCCTTCTTTATTGTCCTTCCTTCTATACTACTGCCTGGAATGCAGATGTGATAGCTAGCTAGAGTTGCAGCCACAGTCTTGGACGGTGAGATTGAAACCCTACTATAGAGATGACAGACTAATGAGATGCTGAGTCTGGGTCCCCAAAATTTCCATAATAACCATGAACTACCTATCTTTGTTTTATGAGAGAGACATATATTTTCATTTCGTCAAAGCCACTGTTATGTTTGGTATCTGTTACTCACAAACAGAATCCTAGCCAATATACTGTCTTTCAGGCCTTTGTAAGGATTAGGTAATGCAAAATGCCCAACACACAGTAGGCATTCAACAAATGATAATTATAAAAAATTGGGGAGCCAACAGAACAGAGTGCTTAAATGCTTGTATTTCAGAGACCCAAAGACTAAGTTAAGGTTTGACTTCTAGCTCCTCTGTCAGCTCCTTAGCTATTTGACAGCTAAGCCTGGATGACCTCCCCTGGGTTTGGTTGCTAGTGGCCAAAAATGAGGGTAGGAGGTTGAAGGAATGGTCATTAGCCATTCATTCACTCATTCATTCAACAAGTGATTGAGCAGTTTCCATGGGCCAAGCATTGAGCTAGATGCTGAGGACGTAGGAGTCCTTGTCTTCCAGGGGTTGACTGTTTTGTGAGTGATCCAGAGAATATGCAAGTAAACAAGGACAAATGGTAACGTGCTATGATGGAAACAGACAGGGTGACGTGATACAGAATGATGGGGGGAATCTAACTGGATTTTTCATAATAGCCTTATTGAGATACAGTTCATATACCATACAATTCATCCATTAAAAATGTACAATACAGTGATTTTTAGTATATTCACAGAGTTGTGCAACCACCACTACAATCAATTTTAGAACATTTTCATTAACCCCAAAGAAACCCTTTTTCCCATTAGCAGTCACTCCCCATTTCCCTGTAGCCTCTTCCTCCTCCCAGCCCTAGGCAACCACTAATCTACTTTGTCTCTATGGATTTTCACCACATTGCATATAAATGGAATCATACAATAGGTGGTCTTTTGTGACTGACTTCTTTCACTTACCATAATTTTTCAAGGTTCATCCACATTGTAGGATGTATTAATACCTCATTGCTGTTTATTATCAAATCATATTCCATTGTATGGATCTTTCTATCACATCATGCTACCTAGAGGTTGTTCAAAGCCATGGAATTTGAAGGAGGGGATGGGGTAGGGAAATAGAGGGCTTCCACCTTGGACTCAAGACTAAAGTCTCCTCCTCCTCCCAGTTACAGCTTCCCAGGCAGACAGGTTTCTACTCAGTGCAACAAGGCAACGCCAAAGAGACTCTCTGAGTGGTTCCATCTGATTGCTCTTGCTCCAGATTGCTACAGCTTCCTATGGTTGTCTGCATACTCTCCAAGGTACACCCAAGGATATGGGCTAGTCTTCTTCCCAGGCGGGAAACCACTGGCTCTGGGCTTCTGGGGGTGGGGAACACCTTACAGAGGCTGCCTGGGAGTCTGACCTTTAAATGATCTTGGAGAGGAGAAAGCCTGTACCATAAATATTGATTTTTTCATTATCACAGCAATGAGCTTTGGGCCCAGGATCAAAGAGACCCACCTAGTTCAGGGAACCAGCCACAAGGTGGAAGGAACCAGGTGGCCAAGAGGCTGGAGGCTCCCACGTTGCAGAAGGATGAGCCTATGGAGCCAGCACCCTTAGTAGCAGAACCTGCACTGGGCATTGGAGTGGAGGAGGCCATGCAGCACAGGCTTCGGAGTCTGTCCAGATTCAAATTCCAGTCCTAGGCTACTTTCTTAATCCCTCTGAGCCTCACCAGTTTCTTTACCTGTAAAAATGGCGATAATAGTAGAGCCCACCTCGCAGGGCTGTTGTAAGGACAGATGATGATAAAAAGTCCACCATTTATTGAGTACTTTTCATACACGTTATGCTTAATCCCATTTAATGATCATAACCTAATGTTATAATCATTCCTATTTTACAGAAGAGGAAACCGAGAGATAAGGTAGCTTTTTTGGCTATAAGTGAAGTTGCTGTGTGTAACCCGGGAAAGGAAACGTTTCTTATTATTTTTCTCCCAGTTGCTGGGAACCCCCATCCAGGCTGGGTTCATGTTACCTGCTATCCTGCCCCCATCACATGTCACAGAGGTGTTTATTTCTCCATTACCAACAGACCTTATTTGGTTTCTGAAACCAGTCGTTGTTGGGTTCGCTGCAGCAGCAAAGCAAGTCTCAGCGGAGCTCAGTGGGCAAGGGTGGTGGATGTGCAAGGCCCTGATCCCTCTCTGGGCTGGAGGTGGGGACGGCCCCCTCTCCTGCTGGGGTGGGAGAGGCCACACACAAAGGGTCCTCTCGATGGGGCAGAGACCCCCGCCTATGCCCACAATTTGCCCTCTCAGCCTTGCCAGCCACCTGCCTGGCTCAGGCGTCGAGGACACTGGTCTCCAGCGCAGGCACCCCTAAAGGCTCCCCAGGGGCTGCCCAGGGCCTAGGGAGGAAAATAAGAGAACTGCTCTTTATGAGTGGGGCGGTGGTTGTTCACTGGTAGAATTCTCGCCTTCCACGTGTGAGATCTGGGTTCTGTAGATCACAATAGTTTGGTCCCATTGTGCATAGAGCCCCCGTGAGTCAGACTCAAAGGCAGCTAATAACAATATTTACAATTATATTTAACCTATCCTTTTAAAAATATCTATTTTTGTATATTGGAAACCCTGGTGGCGTAGTGGTTAAGAGCTACGGCTGCTAACCAAAAGGTAGGCAGTTCGAATCCACCAGGCGCTCCTTGGAAACCCTATGAGGCAGTTCTGTTCTGTCCTTTAGGGTCACTATGAGTTAGAATCGACTCAATGGCAATGGGTTTGGTTTTCTTTTTTAAATTATTTTTGTATACTACACTAAGTATTGTTCCCAGATAGTTGTATTAAATCTCCACCTCTTAAGAACTGACTTAACTATTTTAACCCTGTAGTTCTGTCACTTGTTATTTTACAAATGCTGAGTCTAAGATGATTCATATATAATGCAGATATGTCTAGAATTATTATATCTTTTTGACCTATTGGTCCTTTTTGTAAAGTCCTTCTTTGTCTTTTTTATATTTTTCTTCTTAAATATTAATTTTTCTAATGTTAAAATTGCTACCCTGGTTTACTTTTTGGTTCATATTTACATACTTTTATTTTCAACATTAAATACTTTTAAACATCTCCTGTAGACAATGTATGGGTAATTTTTTAAATGTAGGGAGCAGTTAAATCCACACGAAATATGGCGGAGAAGAGTGGAAGTGCCAGTGTCTGTGTGTGTTCCTCTCATTCGGAGGCCTCGTGGGAGAGTTCCTTGACCTGATGTGTCACCACGGATTCATTCTCTAGCTATGTTTATTCTACTGTTTTGCACATGGGGTGCCCATGAGTCAGATCGACTTGACGGCAACCAACAACAATAAACGGTTTGTTTAAACTTTCATCCCCACGATCTCTAATTCATACTTCTTTGTAACTTCTAATTCTTGCTTCATGTTCCCAGTATGCACCCCCTACCTTCTGCCAGCTTCTTTTTTCAGGACCAAGATGGTACACAGAAGCAATTTGACTGTCAGGGATGGAAGTCTAAGTCTATCCCCAATAGAAGCTCCTTATTTCACAAATGAAGAAATTGAGGCCCAGAGAGGGAAAGAAGCTTGACCAAGGTCATATAGTGATCCAGCAGTGGAGACAAACTAGAGCCCAGAACTGTGATTCCCAGCCCAGGAATCATTCCATACCATGCCAGCTCAAGGCCAACTTTAACTAGATATCCATATCAAAACAAATGAATGTTATCTTCTATCTCAAACCATACACAGATAACAATTCCAGATGGACTGTTGATTCAATTGTGAAAAGTCAGGTGATAAAGCTTCTAGAAGGTAACACAGGATAATAATTCATGGCTTTAAGGTAGGCAAACATTTCTTAACACAAAAAGGACTGACCATAAAGGAAAAGACTGATAAATTAGGACTATTAAAGCTAAGAACTTACATTCACCAAAAGACACCATTAAGAGAGTGAACAATTTTCATTGCAGCACTTTTCACAATAGCCAAAAGGTGGCAACAACCAAAATGTCCATCAACAGATAAACAATGGATGGACCACATATGGTATAGCCATATAATGAAATTTCGGCTGCTAACCAGTCAGCAGTTTGAATCTGCCAGGTGCTCCTTGGAAACCCTATGGGGCAGTTCTGCTCTGTCCTATAGGGTCATTATGAGTCAGAATTGACTCAACAGCAATGGTGTTCTTTTTTTTTTTTTTTTGATTTTATAAGGAAAAATGAAGCCCCGACACATGCTACAACATGGATGAGCCTTGAAAACATTATGGATGAGATAGTCAGTCACAAAAGGACAAATACTGTATGATCCCATTTATATGAATATCTAGAATTGGTAAATGTATAGAGACAAGAGTTTATTAGTGGGGCAAGAGGAAGGGGGAAAGGAGAGGCTGTTGCTTAGGGGGCTCTGAGTTTCTGTTAAGTGTAATGGAAAAACTTGGAAATCTTGGTGGCATTAACCATGAGTGCCTAACCTATGCTGACCCAGAATTACTGGTTATCTTTGGTCATCAGCAGGGCAAATAGTCCCAGGCTTATAAAAGTCTGTGGAGCCCTGTGGGCATTCCAGCTCTTTGTTCCAGCACGTCTCTGGCCATGGGGTTGCCCCAGATCCTCCTAACCCTTTCCTGCCTGTGCCTTGGCCTGAGTTCTGGCCAGTACGCTCCGGACCTCATCACTTCCTTGCCGGGCCTCTCTACTCAGCTCAACTTCCTACAATGGTCCGGCTACCTCCAGGCTGGTGAGGGCAAATACTTCCACTACTGGTGAGCAGCTAAGGGTGAGGGGTTCACTCCAGAAGGATGGGGGAAGCCAAAAGGGATTGCTAGCTCCCCAAAGCCCCACAGCATCCACACTTGGCCAGAAAGGTGGGAGTCTTGTCACTCAGTCCGGAGCAGGTTACCTAGGAGGCCAGATCACATCTGAGGGTGGGTCTCCTGCCCACTGCCTACCACTAGGTAGCCAGGTAGCCTTGGACAAAAGCTTCAGAGCCAGTGAAGCTGAGAGATCATGGCCCATAGGTTCCCAAATGCCAGCACATGGAGAATGAGACAAATAAGTAAGAACAACATACTATGTTAGTAAGAGGTAGCTAGCTATTCTTCTTAGAAAAAATTGTCCTTTATTTTGGTATATGCTTCCTAATTTTCAGTATTCAAATTACTTTCTTTTATGAAAGATACTTGAAGCTAAGTCTTATGACAATAGTAGAAATGAGATTTTTTGAAAATTAAAATACTCCTATTTGCAAAATAAGATTTCAACTCTGTATAACTCTCAACCCACCTTTCTTTTTGTGGGGGTGGGGCAAAATTGGAAATTTATTTATCCATGAAATCCCCAAGTCTGGGTACCTGCTGTAATCCAACACCCTTTTAAAATGATGTAAAAACAGTGTGAGTGAGGTGTCTGACCTCCTCTCTCTTACAAGGGGGAAGGAGAATCAAGATCAACAGCCGAAGGCTGAGTCCTATGAGGCAGTTTGGACATGCCTCCTCTCTGCACCATGTTTACCAATTCTGACACCAACTGTTCCTCCCATGGTGCACTGTACTTCTCTTCTGGGTTTCATAGTTCATTACAATGGCCACACAGAACTTACAGACAATACTCAAGATTATGGGGTTTATTAGGGAAGTAACAGGTTATAATTCAGGTTCGGGAACACTCAGGATATATTTCTTCCATCAGGCACAACTCTCAGGCATGACCCTCCCTGGCCCTCTGCCTCTGCCCAAAGGCACTCAGGGTCTCCTGCTGGCCTCTCCTGCCACCGCTTCTCACTGCCTTCAGGTTACAGTTCTCTCTCCCTCTCTTTCTCTGTCTCCTGGTTCCAGAAGCTTCTTAGCACAGGGATCCCAGGTCCAAAGGATGTGCTTTCCACTCCTGCTGCTCTTCCTTGGTGGTGGTGGGATCCTCTCTTTCCCACCTCTGGGATGGCTCATTCCAAGCCCAGCGGGATGGCAAAACTGACCAATCCCTTTGATGGGCCACAATTACCCCATCACAAAGTCCCACCCAATCACTTGCATGGGAATTATAAGACCATGGCTAGAAAGACCACACAAAAGTGATCCATTGCACTGCAAATGAGGAGGAATCTGAGGCCTAGCAATTACTGGCAGCCTGAAGCCAGGCCTGCAGCCTCCCAGCCCAGTGCTTGGCCTCCTCTGCCAGCCTGATGTTTGACTTGTTTGGCCTTTGTCTCCTATTTCCCTAGTGCTCATTCTAGGGGGCAGGAAAGAGGGAGGGAGGTGGGTAAGAGTGGGAACCCTGGGATTCTCCTCTGTCCTTTTTCCCAAAAAGAAGAGAGACTCAGTAGTGATCAAATTTCAGAAAAAGCAGGGTAGGAGCTGGCCACCCCGCCTTGGGGAGAGTGTGCAGAGCCAGTGCCTCCTCTGGCCCTCCAGGCCTCTCCCCTAGGTGGGCTGCGGCCTTGGGAAAAGGAGGCAAGGAGGAGTGACAGGAGGGACCGTGGTGGGATCCACATGGAATCTCAGCTCAGGGGCCCTCGACAGTCAGAAGAGGTAAAGTGGGAGGGGATGCCCACATTCTCTGAGGATCACAGCTCTCCGGTGCAGATAAACACTTATTTCCTTTCATCATCTGAGTTTTGACACGGCCATTCATCAAGGAGGTCCCTGGGTGGCGCAAATGGTTTGCATTCAACTACTAATCTAAAGGTTGGCAGTTCAAAACCATCCAGCAGCACCTCAAAAGACAGGCCTGGCGATCTGCTTCTGAAAGATCACAGTCATGAAAACTCTATGGAGCAGTTCTACTCTGTAACACGTGGGGTCACCATGTGTCGGAATCGATGTGATGGCAACGGGTTTGGTTCATTCACCAAGGGAAAAAAGATAATTCATTGTTGGTAGCTCCAGTCGGAGCTCCTTGGCTGGGAGCAGGGCCAAACTAGGGCATGAGATCCCTTTAACGAGTGAAAGGGCACAATTCCCCCAAAGCAACTGAGGCAGGTGCCACAGAGTAGATGAGAGGGCAGGCAGCACCCCAGACAAGTGGCTGAGTCTGCGGGGCTGGAGCAGCTCCAGGTACATGAACAGAAGCATCCACCTGGCCCGAGAGGCTGGGATGATCTCTCTCTAGTCTCTAAGTTCCCCACCTCAGTACCACTCTAATCTTCCAGCTGCAAGCCTCTTCCCTCTAGTTCAGCCTTGGGACACTGAAATCCTCCTTCTGGACTGACTGAGCCCTGGCTTTCAGGGCTGCCTCCTCCAGCATTGACCTACTGTGTGACCTTGGGTAGGTCCCCTCTACAGTCTGGTCTCTGGTTCCTCATTTGTGAAATGTGATGGTTCCAGTCTGGTCTCTGGTTCCTCATTTGTGAAATGTGATGGTTCCATTCTGTGGTCCGTTCCAGTTCTGCCAGCTTATATTATCCTCAGCCTTTTCCTCCGCAGTTCCTTATCCTGGAGTTGTAAATACAAGTCCTTGTGTGATTGTATTAAAAAAAGAAGGAGGAGAAGAGGAATCATTTAAAAATTGAGAGCCATCACATAGAAATCTGGACACCCAGTTTCCCTGGGAAACTGGAATATCTGGCAACACTGGTCCTGGTTCCTGCCTGGCAACCACTGGCTGGAGCTGGGCAGCTCCCTTAAAGCTCCAACCTACCTGGCAGCTCCTCTCCTGTATGTTCCTGGCCTGGTCCTGGGGACATCTGGGTTTTCCATCACCTAGTACTAAATGAGCCCTCCTTCTCTTCACTCCTTGCCTGCCCTCACCAGGGTGCAGGGTGAGAACCACTCTGCTAGTCCAAACACCTACTCACTGTGCAACCTCACAGCTCTTTCCTTTTCAGGGTCCCAGTTTCCCTTCCTCTACAGTGGGTAGGTTGGAGCAGATGACTGCTGAGGTCCTTTTGACTTGGAAACCCTGTGGCTCCAGTTGGGGTTTGCCACTAATGGTCCTTCAAACACCCCCTTTCCCACCCTCAGCCTATCATATATGGCTGATGGGGCTGAAGCTAGGCCAAGAACCAGCGGCAGAGACCAGCCTGAGTCCTCAGTCAGGACCCTGGAAAACAAAGGGAAGCCAACCTTCTCTTGCTAACACAGGGCCTCCTGGGGATGATGGGGAGACAGGAGACCCATCTGCAAGCAGCGGGCAGTTTCTTGGCTACAGGACCAGCTACATTAATTTTTGGGACAAAAGCAAAATCAAAATGCAGGGCCTCTTTTTCCAAAGTTAGTAAGAATTTCAAGATGGTGACAGCAGAGCATTAAACCAAGAGGCCTTCTAAACACAGGGCCCTGTGTGACTGCACAGGCTGTATGCCCATGAAGCTGGGCCTGCTGGCCACCATGGGAGACAGTGCCAGAGAACAGCTTTTTCTTGCTCTTGCAGGTTTGTGGAATCCCAGCGGAACCCCGCATCGGACCCCTTGGTGCTCTGGCTGAATGGCGGTCCTGGCTGTAGCTCCATGGAGGGAATTCTGGCAGAGAATGGGCCCTACAGGGTGAGACAGGGACTTCATGGGGGCAGTACTGGGGTGGAGCAGGAGGGATGAATGCCATCTGGCCTAATTTTTCCTTGATAATCCAAGTCACAGCTGAGGTAAGACTCCCTCAGGGGCTCTGCCGGGTGGCCCAGTGCCACGCCTGGGGTGCAAGGCAGACTCAGGCCTTCAGAGCCAGAGACTGGGAGGGCATTAGAAGAGCAAGCAGCTCAGCATGGCGGAAAAGCTCTGACTTGGGTTCAGGAGACCTGGCTTGTAGCCAAGGTCAGCTTGGGCCTGTTACTCCTCTCTGGGTCCCAATTCCTTCACTGATCTATTGCCTTGGGGACCTTTTAGGATCAGGTAAGTAAAATCCCATGGAAAGGAGACCATCCTGAACATTACTAAAAGCTACAGAGTCAGCTCACATGCTTGAATGAGTGAGACGTCATTTAAGTCCCATCTCCAACACCTCCCAGGACTGTGGGAGCTTGGGCAAATTACTTTACCTCTGCAGGCCTTAGTTTCCTCGTCTGTGAAATGGGCAATAATACTAGCGTTATGAGGATTTATATCATTTAGGGAAGGAGTTTGGCATAGACTGATTGATTTCAATCAGTGGGCTCTGCCACTTACTAGCTATATGACCTTAAACAAGTAAACCTGTCTGGGCCTCAGTTTTCTCATCTGAGAAATGGGAATAATAATAGAACCTATCAGAAAAGTTGCTGTGAAGAGCAAGAAGGTAATTCCCATACAGTACTTCACATAGTACTTGACAGATAATACTAGTACATACAGTAACTTTGTTATTCCCCACAATGCCTCTCTCCCAAGGGCCTAGGAAAGAACAGCACCAGTAAGGAGCTGTTTTGGGTGGGGCTCAGGAAGAAAACCCTTTGCAAAGTTTGGCTTTAAATGGGAATACCTTGCGCTGCTCTGGAGGTTGAAGGGCTCTCTCTAGGAGGTTTGGAGAGGCTGGTAAGAAAGAGGCTTGCCTGGCTTCCCTCCTGGAATGCCAGCAGGATGCTCTGGAGCCATCTGCTGCCTAATTTGGGCACCCACTTCTTCTGCCCCTCCCTCGCTGCCATCTTATCAGGAAGCACTTGCAAAAGTCCCCATAAGCCCTGCCTTCAGCCTCGTGGTTGCCCTTGGTGCCTGCAGCCCAGAGGACACCTGTCCCTCTCCCTCCACCACAGATGAACGCTGATGGGTCCCTCTACAGGAACTCATACAGCTGGAACCTGGTGGCCAATGTCTTGTACCTGGAGTCCCCTGCTGGCGTGGGCTACTCCTACTCCCTCAGTCGCAACTACCAGATCGATGACCAGCAGGTGAGTGGCCAGACCATTCAAGGTAGGACAGGAAGGAGGGAAGGGATGGAAAGGGAAGGGGTAAAAAGGGAAGGAAGGAAAGCAAGATGGAGGTGGAGAGAGAGGATGAGAGAGAGAGAGGGAGGAGGGAGCAAGGAAAGACGAGAGGGAGGGAGGAAGGAAGAGCTGGAAGAAGAAAGGAAATGCCTTATGTCTCCTTAGACCAGAGGCTGCAAACTGGTGGCCTGTGGCTGCATTCACTCAGCCCATGGACATCTTTGCTTTGGCCAGCATAGTGTTTGTGGGGGTGGGGGGAGAAAACTTGAATTTTATTTACCACCATTGGGAAGATTGGAAGATTTCACTTAAAAAGTCAGACTGGTGGCTTCTGCTAAAGTCGACACCCCTGGGACTGCATTCCCTCCTGGTAACACCCTTGTGGAGCTGAGGAGCAGCAAGGGTGGCGTGGCTTCAAGAAGGCCACGTGCCCTCCAGTTCACCACTGTCCCCTCCTTGTCCTGTTGTCTTATACCCATTCACACTCCCTGCCTGGTTCCAAGCTTGCGTTTGCGGTCTCTGTTTTAGTCTCAAGGAACCCCAGACCCAACCCTGGGGGATGACAGAGAAGGGATAATATTGCCTTCCTCCTCTATGCTGGGAAAGCTGAAGAGACTAGTGTTTAAGTCAGACTGCCAGGGTTCAAATCCAGGTTCTGCCATTGCCTAGATGTACTTTACTCTGTGCCAGGTACAGTGCCACACTCGGGGGAAACAGTGGTGAGCAGACCAGCCCCAGCCCCTGCCCTCACAGAGCTTACAGGCTAGTGGGGAAGACAGACATTATAAGCGTGAGGACTAGGGGAGGTAGAGGACTGTGGGAGCACAGAGCAGGGAGATCTGCATCTCCTGGGGCATCAGGAAGGGCCTTCTGGAGAAGGCCCAGATAATGTGGAGGAAAGGGCATTCAGGCAGAGGGAGCAGTGGGTAGAGGCAGGAGATAAGTGAATGCTCCTGATGCCTGAGAGGCTGAAGCACCCCCTTCAGGAGAGAGAATGGCAGGAGCTTGGGCTAGCAAGCTCTGCAAGGCTCAACTATGGAGGGGCTATCTTATAAGCCTCATTAGGGTTAAGGGTAAAAGAAAGCTCTTAAAGGGTATGAAGTTGAGGAGTGCCACTGTGACCAAAGATCCCCCCTGGCTTCGGTGGGGAGAATGGGCCACAGGAGGGAAGGGTTGAGTTGGGGGACACCAGCAAAAAGATAATCTCTCTCAGCCCTTGGTTGGGGTAGGGGAGGCTGTCTGTGATTCTCTCCCATCTTGACCAGCTGCTTGGGCCCCATTTCCTCTCCGTTCAGGTGGCTGCTGACAACTACCAGGCACTGCAGAGCTTTTTTGAAAAGTTCCCCACTTTTGCCAACCATGACTTCTACATCTTCGGTGAAAGCTACGGGGGTGTGTACATCCCCTCCCTGAGTGCACAGATTGTCCAGGGTACATCGTCCATTAAGTTCAAGGTAAGTCTCACACTCCTGCTGGCTGAGGAGAGCCAAACACCAGCAATGGCTGGAAATCTTTATCCTTTGCTTCAAGGACCTTCATTCCGTCCTTTATTACAGTGTGTGCTGGGCACTGACCTGGCACTGGGGATATGTAGGTGACCAAGACAGACAAGATCTCTGCCTTCATGGAGCTGAAGTTCTAGGTGGGGAGAAATAGACAATAAACATGCACGCACATATATGAACAAGGTCCTTTAGAGAATGCTAAGGGCTGTGAAGGAAGTGACTGGAAGAAGGAGCCACTTTAGAAGCAGGGTTGGAAAGCCTTCCTGAGAAGGTGTCAGATGAGCTGAATGATGAGAAGGAGCTGCAAGAAGAGTTGGGAGACGAGTGGTCCAGACAGAGAGAAAAACAACTGCAAGATCGTGGCAGAATAACGTTGGTGTTGGGTATTGAGCAGGAGGAAGGAGGCCACTGTGGCTGGGGCAGAGTGAGCAAGGGGACATAGTAGAATGAGGTGGAGAAGTGGGCGGGGACCAGATCATGGGGGCCTTGTAAGCAATGGTGAGGATTTGGGACTTTATAAGATTATATAGGAAGCCATTAGAGGGGTTTTAGCAGAAAGGTGGGTTATGGGGAGCAGGGAGACACATACAAGGAGGGTATGATTGATTTTAGGGGTCCTTGGGTGGCACAAACAGTTAGTGCTCAACTACTAACCTAAAGGTTGGTGGTTCAAACTCACCCAGCAACACCATGGAAGAAAGGCCTGGCAATCTGCATCCATAAAAATACAGCCAAGAAAACCCCGCACAGCAGTTCTACTCTGTCACGTGGGGTCGCCATGAGTCAGAATTGACTTGACAACAACAGGTTTGGTTTTTGTTTAGGACCCGTTGTGGTGGTCCAGAGATGATGGTGGGACATGAGAAGGGGAGATGGAGATCAGTGGCAGGATTTGCGATATATCTGGAGGATGGAGATTAAGCTCTGCCCTTGATCCTTGTCTCCCTTGCCCTCTGGCAGGCACCTGTTTCCCCATCTGTAAATGAGGCCCATTTGAAAGTTGTCAGCTACTCTGGAATTCTAAGTATGGTTCTGTGTTAATCCTGTAGAAGGCAGGATAGCCAAATGGCTAAGAGGGTAAATCTAATCATCACATACCAATCTGGGTTTGAATTCTGGCTCTGCCATGGACTGGCTGTATGGCCTTGAGCAAGCTCTTGAACCTCTCAGTGCCTCCATTTCTTCATTTGTAAAATAGGAGTGCACATAATAATACCTGCCTCAAAGGATTATGGGGAATAAAGGAGATAATGAATATGAAGGGCTCAGAGCAGTCCTGGCAGACGGTGAGCGCTCAGTAAAGGTTAGCCATTATCACTGGTACCATCCAGGAGGGGGCCTTCCGCCATTTCCTTCTCTTCTGGTTTCAGGGCTTCGGAGTGGGAAACGGACTGAGCAGCTACCAGCTAAACGACGATACTCTGATAGAATTTGGTTACTACCATGGCCTCTTTGGTGACAAGTAAGCCCTGTCTTCTTCTAGGCCCTTATCTTTTGTACCTTGTGGCGCGTCTACCTCTGAAGCAGGTGGCGCTCTGCCATCCTTAGGCCAGAGGTGAAGGAGCCCACCAGGCAGGCTGACTTAGATTGAAATAAGGCAGGAAATGGGGTGACTGCTCGCAGGCATGGCGGTGGGCCTAGAGGGAATGGAACTCCTGACCTGGCTGCCTCACTCTGCCCTCTCTGCCCACAGCCTCTGGGCATCCCTCAAAACCTACTGCTGCTCTGAGGGCACCTGCAACTTCTTCAACAACACGGACAACAACTGCTTAAATGCGGTGAGTCACCCTCTCCTTGGTGGGGGGTAGAAAGAGGGAGCCTCTCTTCAACTATGGAGAGGAGAAAAAAGAGGAGCTCGAAGGCCAGTACACACACACACACACACACACACACACACACACACAC